CTCCCCCTCTGCTCGCCCCTGGGTGCTCTGCCCTGCATGGCCCGCGTGGCGCTGCCCACCTCTACTCGCGCCGGGTGAGCAGGCGGCTCCGCTCTTTTGCAGGAAGGCCTTCCACAACTTCAATTACTTCCTCTTCTTCTACAACGTGCTCCTGGGCCTGGGGGCCTGCCTGTCCCGGCTGCTCTGCAGCGCCCTGCTGGGGACGTGGCTGATCGCCCGCATCGACAGGACCATACTGCAGAGAGGCTACGAAGGGGCTGACACAGGTAAGGGCCGGGCCAGCGCGCTCACAACGCGGAGTGCAACGCGTCCAGCAAACCCCCGATTCACCGGCAGGCGTCTCTTCCTGCCCAGCCAAGCAGCAAGCACAATAAAGAGCCCTGAAGGGCTGCGCCAGGCCAGCGCCTGGCCTCCCTCATGCACCCGAGGGTCCCCCGGCACCTCGCAGAGCGAAACCCAATCCTGGAGCGAGTTGGACGCAGGGGGTCAGCGCACGGAGCTCAGGCTCCTCCACCTTTGGGAGCTAGTCTCAAGGGTGCCACAGACCCACTGGGCGCCCCTCTGAGCCAAGCACCTAACAGCCTGTAGGCCTGGCCCCAGACTCTGCCCCGATGGGTTTGAGCCCAGGCTGCCCTGGCCTGCTTTGAAGAGGGAGGAGTAATGATGTGACTGTTTTCAAAGAGGGGACGCTGCCGGGGAATAAGCCCCAACACTGGGCTTTTCCAATGGAGATCAGCCACTTGTCTGTGCTTGGAGCTGTGAGTGTAGCCTTGCGAAGAACCGCAGCGAACCTGCCCGGCTCCTTCCAACGCTCTGCGAGCAGCTCCCGGTCGAGTCACGCGGACGGCCATGGCCTGGCGCTGGGCAGGCCTGCGGGGGCTGAGCGTTCCTTGCAAACTCTTGCAGGCTGCGTTCAGACGCTGCTGTTTGAGTGCTGTGGCTGGCTGCTGATTTTGGTTTCTGTTTCCTGATTGGAGGCCTCGTTTGTATAAGTGACGGCTGTTCTGTCAGACGATTCCTTCCTTCCCCGGGCCCACA